ATGCTAGCGGGGTACAAATAAAGTTTAATAATAATAATAATAATAATAATAATAATAATAATAATAATAGGTTACGAACATCATATTCTTCATTAATTTTGAAACATTTAAAATGATAAAAAATAGCCTGCTAAATGGCCCTCTAAAAGACTTATATTTAGCATTAACGTTTTTTATTTTATCAAGAAGTTACAATTTTACCAATCATCCAATGTTCTAAAATAACATTGTCACAATGTTCATTAAACCAAAAAGTAATGCATTGCTGATAACGCTATTATGTTTGACATATTTTTAAAGCTGTATGTGATGGGAGTTTTGGGGCCCATCCATTCTTTACCATTTCTTCATTTCATATTCAACTCATGTTCTCATGTTCAGCTCTCATATTTACACTGTTATCTCTTTCTAAACCTGACAATGCACTTTTCATCTACGAGATTATTGTCTAACTCCAGTTAGCTATATTTTACTTCATTTCTAACTTTTACACTTCTTTTTCACACCATTCTTCCACCCGAATCTTCACTTGCAAATTCTGGTTAATTCCTTTTTGGCTCCAGTCTTGGCAGACCCTAGTACAAAGACATTAAAATGTCTACCTTCTATTGCCATTTACATAACAAAATGGGAAATCTGAGGTATGCAAATTCCTAATGAATGATTTGAGTTCAGAGGATTCACCTGATGAGAAACTAGCTCACTACATCTGAACTTAGTGGAAAGGTGAAGGATTGTGTACTTGGCTCTGGGCTTCACTGATTTGAGTTCAGAGGATTCACCTGATGGGAAACTAGCTCACTACATCTGAACTTAGTGGAAAGGTCTCAGATGTGAATATAGGTTTGCCACTACACTTGATGAACACATTGGAATCAGAGTACCTGCTGGACATACTACGGAGAAGAAAAGGCCTCTCCCCCATCTTTAACTCTAAAATGATGAAAGAAGAGTGTTTATAGAATCATAGCGATGGAAGAGACCTCATGGGCCATCCAGTCCAACCCCCTGCCAAGAAACAGGAAAATCGCATTCAAAACACCCCTGACAGATGGCCCTAAACTTTTGACTTAGGGTTGCCCTATGTCCATCTGCTTGCCCACAGAATACAATATTCAATAAGTATTGGCACTATAAGAGGGTTTGTGGGTCCGGTAGCTCTCATTGCAATTGTGTAGTAACATTGAAGCTGTGGACCATATTTTAGTTCTTGCAGACCACAGGTGGTCCACAGACCACAGGCTGGGAACCACTGTTGTAGAGCATACAAAAACAAATGGTGAAACAGTTATTGGCAGCCATAAGATAGAAGATAGTTCTTCTAATCCAGGACTTTTTCAGTATTCACAACAGGCATAAAAACCTTGACTCACACAGAGTTGATACTGGCTGTCTTCACAATGTTGCTGTACCTCAGTGAGTATCACAGACTAACCTTGGTTAAAATGTCTGTTCTACTTCACACAGAGTTGGGGGATGCTCTAGAGCAGGGGTCCTCAAACTAAGGCCCAGGGGCCGGATACGGCCCTCCGAGGTCATTTACCCGGCCCTTGCTCAGGGTTAACCTAAGTCTGAATGACTTAAAAGCACACAACAACAACAACAACAACAATCCTATCTCATCAGCCAAAGCAGGCCCACACTTCCCATTGAAATACTAATAAGTTTATATTTGTAAAAATTGTTCTTCATTTTAATTATTGCATTGTTTTAAAGTGTTTTTTTGCACTACAAATAAGATATGTGCAGTGTGCATAGGAATCCATTCATGTTTTTTTTCAAATTATAATCCGGCCCTCCAACAGTTTGAGGGACTGTGACCTGGCTCTCTCTTTAAAAGGTTTGTGGACCCCTGCTCTAGAGTTTGCTTGAAATTCTGGAGTATCCCACAGCTTCGGAGTATTGTGTACAGTAGGCATGCACAAGTACTCTCTCCATGATTAGACAGAACTGGGGGAAAGAACAATCTGTATATTTGTGCTCTTATCACTACCTACTAACATACTGTAGACATATGCATTATTCTGCATACAAAACTGAACTTCAATTTTTTTATCTATGACTTTTATTCTTCATCCTTAGTAATCTAAGTATCAAACAATAGTAAACTCCATATATGGTAGCCCATGTATTGTTGTGTCAGCGATCTGTTCCCAGACAATACATTTTCTAATAAAATCTGGAACAATTTTTCTGGAACATATTTACCTGGTCAGATTCTCCCCACAGCCAACACACTGCTGAAATCTAAAATGCTGTATAATTGAAATATGACCCCTACCCATCCACTCCTACTGTACTCAGCTCTGGGGGGAGAAGAGAGGAAATGAAGACTTGCATATTAAGGTGCAGGCTGTCCACGATGAACTTCTAAAAGCAGCTCCCTCCCTGGATTCCAAATCCAATGGGAAACCTGGCTGTGTGCAGCCATATCATCTTTTTCTTAGAAAATGAGTTAGTCTCTTTCTGGTTGGAGA